ACAAATTAAACACAATGGTGCAATATTAAGGTCTTTGCATACACCCATCAAAGAATCAGAGCGATCTTCATCACCTGTTAATACCGGTGCTGGTAGTGAGGGATGGAGAGACTCAAATATGTCTTCTACCACCAGTTTCCCAGGGGTCATATCTTTGACCATTAAACCCACTACGGCCTCTGATAAACCTCAGAGTAGAACAGTTACCTCAAGCACAATGACTAGTTCAACTTCATACATTTTCACCCCATTTCCATACAGTAGTAGTACTGGCAATCTGAACGCATATGACCACTCTACAAGGTATGACACCTCATCTTTGAGGGATATTACCTCCAAGCCAATGATTAACGGTGGAAAAGCTGCCAGCTTTACTGTTCTGTCCAACTCTGATGCTTTCCTCCCCTGCGAGGCCACTGGCCACCCTGAGCCCATCATCAGCTGGAACCGACTGACATCTACCACAGGTACAAACATTAAACCACAAAGCTTACAAACATTTGTAAGAATTATATTGTTATCAATTGTTTTTTTTCATATTTATTTTACATTCTGGTATATCTCAAGTCAGAAGCACTGTCAAATATAAAATATGGCTTTTTATGTTAGCTGATCATTTTTGTCTCCTTTATATCATCAGGCAATATGTCAACCATTAAAGGTAAAATGGGCAAATTTGAGGTTCTGAAGAATGGAACATTGTTCATCCAAAAAGCAAACATCAAAGACCATGGACAGTACATATGTTTTGCCCAGAACGAGTATGGTTCTGACAAGTTTGTGGTTACATTATCAGTTGTGGCCTATCCCACCCGGATATTGGAGAAGAAGATGAGAGATATCAAGGTTCTTGCTGGGAAAACTGTGCACTTGGAATGCAGGACAGATGGCAGACCAGTGCCAATGGTGTCATGGATTCTACCTAATCACACTGAAGTTAAATTGATCACTGAGCATGGCAGAGTATCAGTAACCATTATGGGGACGCTAACCATTCAAGAGGTGTCGGTTTTGGATAGTGGACATTATAAGTGTATTGCAAGTAATCCGGCTGGTACTGACACAGCCACTGTTCGTCTACAGGTGGTAGCAGCACCGCCTGTAATACTGGAAGAAAAACAGCAGCTGGTGAGCGCTGATATTGGGCAGAATCTCTTTTTGGCATGTAGCACTTATGGTGACCCGCAACCCACAACATACTGGGTCTTACATGATGGCACGATAGTACGGCCTCTAACTTACTCACACACCAAAGTTTCTGTTTTTGGAAATGGTACACTTTACCTGGGGGGATGTACAAATAACTGAAAGTGGAAAATATGAGTGTATTGCAACAAGCTCTACAGGATCAGAATGGCGTGTTGTTACACTTTCTGTGAAGAGAACAGAAACTGCCCCTCAGATCACTGAGACATCACAGCAAAGAACTGATGTGATATACGGTGGCCGCCTTCATCTGAACTGCTCTGCAGTTGGAGATCCAAAACCTCAAATTATTTGGAGGCTTCCGTCCAAGGCTCTTGTGGACCAGTCACACAGGTAGGCTATAACAAAAGACAGCATTTTTGTTTGATTGTACAATCTTAAACCTGAAGTGTGCAATATCTTAATGGCAATATACAGTACTTCCCCTATCTCTGAATGAACCAGAGATTCCCTGCACCTTTTGAGTTTTGTAGTCATTTGTGAGTACTGAACAAGGATTTTCAAAATTTGTAAAAGTCTTGTTGATGAGAAGTTTTAGAACTGATCATAACGAATTAAGAAATAATAATAATTACAGATTTTTAAACAAAAATGATTTATTTTCATGAGTTTTCTGGATCAATTTTAAAATTCCCTGGTTTTATTTAACCCTGGAATGAACAGTTTAAGTAAATCTCAATTAGGGCAGAAGCATTAGTTTTGTAAATGTTCTCAATCCAATTGTGAAAAGTTAGAATTTAGTTTTTGTAAACATGCAAATTTTACATCATTTGCCTCCTATTGTCAATAATATCATATTCTCATTTCAGAATGGGCAGCCGTATCAAAGTCCTGGAAAATGGTACCCTCATCATTGAATCAGTCAATGAGAAAGATGCTGGGGACTTCGTCTGTGTTGCACGCAACAAATTAGGGGATGATGTACAGCTAATAAGGGTGTCCATGTCTATGAAGCCAGCACGTATTAAACCGAATGTCTTTAGTAGGAAGAAAGTGACTTATGGCAATGATCTAAAAGTGGACTGTGTGGCTGCTGGTGTCCCCATGCCAGAGATATCTTGGGGACTTCCTGATGGTACCTTGGTGAATAGTGGCCTGCAAGCAGATGGAGCAGAAGGCGAACAGTTCAAACAGTACACATTGTTTAATAATGGAACACTGTACCTGAATAAAGTGGGTTCTGACGAGGAAGGTGATTACACCTGTTATGCTGAAAACAAACTGGGTAAGGACAAGATGCATGTTCACATAAGTGTGGTAACTGCAGTGCCACGCATTCAGCGCCCAATTCTCTCCTATGCCAAAGTGAAGCCAGGTAGAAACGTTCGCTTTGACTGTAAGGCTATAGGTGAGCCCAAGCCAAATGTCTTTTGGATGCTTCCGTCCAAAGACATTATTGCTGCATCTAATGATCGTTACTTAGTGCATGCTAATGGTTCCCTTGATATACAAAATGTTAAATTAGTTGATGCAGGGGAGCATGTCTGCATGGCTCGTAATGCTGCAGGTGAGGAGAATAAAGAATATAAACTAGACATTGATGGAAACCCACCCATCATCAATGGCTTGAATCAAAATAGAACTGTGTTGAAAGATACAGCAGTCAAATATACTAGAAAGCTAATAGACTGCAAAGCTGAAGGGGATCCAGCACCAAAGATTACATGGATCATGCCTGACAATATATTTCTTACCGCTCCCTATTATGGGAGCAGGATTAATGTCCACAGCAATGGTACGCTAGAAATCCGTAATGTTAGACCATCAGATACAGCAGAGTTTATTTGTATGGCTCAGAATGATGGAGGTGAGGCAGTCATGTTGGTTCAAATGGAAGTGACTGACAAACTCAGGAGGCCTATTTTTAACAACCCTTTTAATGAGAGAGTGGTGACTCGGGTAGGGAGAACTGCAGTGCTAAACTGTTCTGCTGATGGGCAACCCATGCCTGAAATTATATGGACACTCCCCAATCGGACTCGGTTCAGTGGAACACCTGGGTTCAAGGGCTCAAGATATCACCTGGGTACCGATGGCACATTTGCTATTTATAACTCCAGCATAGAGGACACTGGTAAATACCGTTGTGCTGCAAAGAACAAAGTGGGCTATATCGAGAAGCTGGTCATTTTTGAGGTGATTCAAAAGCCTTATATTCTAACATGGCCAAAGGGGATAATTCAGGGGATTTCTGGACAATCCCTCTTCCTGCATTGCCTGACAGATGTAATCCAGCTCAGCATTTCTTGGACCATGCCAGGAGGTTTTGTTCTTGCACGTCCACAGGTGAGTGGGCGCTACCATTTGATGGAAAATGGGACACTTGTTGTACATGAGACAGTCATACATGACCGTGGGAATTACGTGTGCCGAGCAAAGAATGATGCTGGTGAGGCAGTTCTTTCTGTGCCTGTTGTAATTATTGCATATCCACCCCGGATCACTAATGGGCCACCACCAACTGTGAGAGGAGTGGCTGGAGTTCCTGTTTATCTTAATTGTGTTGCTAATGGAATACCTACACCAGAGATAAACTGGGAGCTACCAGATCGGTCTATTCTTTCTACAACTGGAAAAGAACGACCTGTAGGCAAGTGAGCTTCTCCACGCACAAGGGACACTTATAATTCGAAACCCCACAAGAGCGCATTCTGGTAATTACAAGTGTATAGCCTTTAATTACCTGGGCAGAGATACCAGAACAACATATATGACAGTAATATAAGTTGGGTCATGACTTCATGACCACTGTGACTATTCAAAATACAGTACATACAATTATGTTACTTTGGTTTTCCATGTAGTGTAAAGGTCTGGTTTAATAGACAAAATATGGGTAATTACAGTATGCTATTTGGGAGGAAAACAAAGAACTGTGAGGAATTCTGTCTTTGAAATATATTAAAAAATGTTTTATATCCATACTGAATTATAAATATAGAATTTTATTGGCGCAGACAAATAATGCACAAAATCAAATATTTAGTCATAAAGTATTTTAGCACATGGTTAGGCTATTTCATGGTGGTTGCACATGCTGTGTGTTTCTACTAAATCAGAGTGAATGTTTAGTTATCAAATTATTATGATTTGCCTGATGAACATGTTTATTTCTGTGACATAAGCTAAAATAAAAACATAAAAATAGATGATGATTGAAGTTTTTATAACATGTTTTACAGTATTGCAACCCTGGTACCATTTGGGCAAAATTTATTGGGACATGTTTATCCTAATTCCCTAAAAGTGTTACAGGGACAGGCTATTACTGCTTAGGAATTCACATAATTCCCTCACTTCTTATCCTTTGAGATAATGTGTGTTACAGAGCACTTTAGTCACTAGTTTTTGTTTTTTCTTTGTAGTTTGAGTGTTATCGTTGGCAAAGATATTAAGTGTGCCTAACTGTGGTTGTGGAACATATTTGTGAAAATTACTCGCTTCTGTTGACTGCTGAAGATGTTTATTTATAATGAGACCTCAACATGCAATGTTCCCATTATCCTTTTGAAAATAGTCCTGGGGTCAAACAACCAGGCTTGTCACAGACAAATGCTTGTGATGGCCCTCTTGGGTTAGCTTTGTCTGTTTTCCTTTTGACTATATATTTGTATCTGTCTATGTAGCTTATTTTGTTCTGCCAAGTATTATACTGAGTTTTCCTCTCTTGATTTTAAGCTTTAAACATTTATAAAGATTGTCTCACCTAAAGGTTTATTTATGTAAAACAGATGCATGTACGCATGCGCTTACACACATTCACACACACACACACACACACACACACACACACACTTAATAATGGAACACTGTACCTGAATAAAGTGGGTTCTGACGAGGAAGGTGATTACACCTGTTATGCTGAAAACAAACTGGGTAAGGACAAGATGCATGTTCACATAAGTGTGGTAACTGCAGTGCCACGCATTCAGCGCCCAATTCTCTCCTATGCCAAAGTGAAGCCAGGTAGAAACGTTCGCTTTGACTGTAAGGCTATAGGTGAGCCCAAGCCAAATGTCTTTTGGATGCTTCCGTCCAAAGACATTATTGCTGCATCTAATGATCGTTACTTAGTGCATGCTAATGGTTCCCTTGATATACAAAATGTTAAATTAGTTGATGCAGGGGAGCATGTCTGCATGGCTCGTAATGCTGCAGGTGAGGAGAATAAAGAATATAAACTAGACATTGATGGAAACCCACCCATCATCAATGGCTTGAATCAAAATAGAACTGTGTTGAAAGATACAGCAGTCAAATATACTAGAAAGCTAATAGACTGCAAAGCTGAAGGGGATCCAGCACCAAAGATTACATGGATCATGCCTGACAATATATTTCTTACCGCTCCCTATTATGGGAGCAGGATTAATGTCCACAGCAATGGTACGCTAGAAATCCGTAATGTTAGACCATCAGATACAGCAGAGTTTATTTGTATGGCTCAGAATGATGGAGGTGAGGCAGTCATGTTGGTTCAAATGGAAGTGACTGACAAACTCAGGAGGCCTATTTTTAACAACCCTTTTAATGAGAGAGTGGTGACTCGGGTAGGGAGAACTGCAGTGCTAAACTGTTCTGCTGATGGGCAACCCATGCCTGAAATTATATGGACACTCCCCAATCGGACTCGGTTCAGTGGAACACCTGGGTTCAAGGGCTCAAGATATCACCTGGGTACCGATGGCACATTTGTTATTTATAACTCCAGCATAGAGGACACTGGTAAATACCGTTGTGCTGCAAAGAACAAAGTGGGCTATATCGAGAAGCTGGTCATTTTTGAGGTGATTCAAAAGCCTTATATTCTAACATGGCCAAAGGGGATAATTCAGGGGATTTCTGGACAATCCCTCTTCCTGCATTGCCTGACAGATGTAATCCAGCTCAGCATTTCTTGGACCATGCCAGGAGGTTTTGTTCTTGCACGTCCACAGGTGAGTGGGCGCTACCATTTGATGGAAAATGGGACACTTGTTGTACATGAGACAGTCATACATGACCGTGGGAATTACGTGTGCCGAGCAAAGAATGATGCTGGTGAGGCAGTTCTTTCTGTGCCTGTTGTAATTATTGCATATCCACCCCGGATCACTAATGGGCCACCACCAACTGTGAGAGGAGTGGCTGGAGTTCCTGTTTATCTTAATTGTGTTGCTAATGGAATACCTACACCAGAGATAAACTGGGAGCTACCAGATCGGTCTATTCTTTCTACAACTGGAAAAGAACGACCTGTAGGCAAGTGAGCTTCTCCACGCACAAGGGACACTTATAATTCGAAACCCCACAAGAGCGCATTCTGGTAATTACAAGTGTATAGCCTTTAATTACCTGGGCAGAGATACCAGAACAACATATATGACAGTAATATAAGTTGGGTCATGACTTCATGACCACTGTGACTATTCAAAATACAGTACATACAATTATGTTACTTTGGTTTTCCATGTAGTGTAAAGGTCTGGTTTAATAGACAAAATATGGGTAATTACAGTATGCTATTTGGGAGGAAAACAAAGAACTGTGAGGAATTCTGTCTTTGAAATATATTAAAAAATGTTTTATATCCATACTGAATTATAAATATAGAATTTTATTGGCGCAGACAAATAATGCACAAAATCAAATATTTAGTCATAAAGTATTTTAGCACATGGTTAGGCTATTTCATGGTGGTTGCACATGCTGTGTGTTTCTACTAAATCAGAGTGAATGTTTAGTTATCAAATTATTATGATTTGCCTGATGAACATGTTTATTTCTGTGACATAAGCTAAAATAAAAACATAAAAATAGATGATGATTGAAGTTTTTATAACATGTTTTACAGTATTGCAACCCTGGTACCATTTGGGCAAAATTTATTGGGACATGTTTATCCTAATTCCCTAAAAGTGTTACAGGGACAGGCTATTACTGCTTAGGAATTCACATAATTCCCTCACTTCTTATCCTTTGAGATAATGTGTGTTACAGAGCACTTTAGTCACTAGTTTTTGTTTTTTCTTTGTAGTTTGAGTGTTATCGTTGGCAAAGATATTAAGTGTGCCTAACTGTGGTTGTGGAACATATTTGTGAAAATTACTCGCTTCTGTTGACTGCTGAAGATGTTTATTTATAATGAGACCTCAACATGCAATGTTCCCATTATCCTTTTGAAAATAGTCCTGGGGTCAAACAACCAGGCTTGTCACAGACAAATGCTTGTGATGGCCCTCTTGGGTTAGCTTTGTCTGTTTTCCTTTTGACTATATATTTGTATCTGTCTATGTAGCTTATTTTGTTCTGCCAAGTATTATACTGAGTTTTCCTCTCTTGATTTTAAGCTTTAAACATTTATAAAGATTGTCTCACCTAAAGGTTTATTTATGTAAAACAGATGCATGTACGCATGCGCTTACACACATTCACACACACACACACACACACACACACACACACACACTTAGGTGGAGAATGATTCCAAGATCAGGAATGAGGCCCAAGCTTTGGCTTAAACTAAAGGCTCTCCAGGTTTTTCTTTCACCAAGTAACATTCCATGGCTTCCCACTTTTCGACCTTTGCTTGGATCAACACCTTTCACCACCACCCCTGGAATTTCACGATAGGATTTGAGAATCCACACCTCTGATCTTCAGACACAAGAGACAGATTCATCTTTAGCCCAGTACCTCATTCTGCCTGCATTCATGAAGTCTAGGATCTTATATGCCTTTTGGAGTGAACATAATACAGAGACATGAAGGTGTCAAACTATAAGCTTCAATTTTAATTTTGTTCATGTAATTAATTAAGTTATATCTTAAATCAGTTAGGGAGCCAGATTGCTTTCTATAAGCTTCAATTTTATTTTTGTCATGTAATTAATTAAGTTTAATCTTAAATTAAGTTAGGGAGCCAGATTGCTTTCTAACACAATCTCCATGTGTGAAAAGGGATCCGTTTTGAGTGAATTACTTTCAAGCATATAGATACATTTTCATTTCAAGCCAACAACACATGTACTGAGAAACTGTGACACCTTTCTTTAGAGTACAAACTACTCCAGCAGTCTAATATAATTTTGTCTCCTTTGGAACATTTAGGAAAACTGATTAATTTGAGCTAGTTATGCTGGCTGAATGTGTAGTCGATGTGTTGTCCCTATCAGGAATTATGTTTAGTGGTTATGGCTTGGATAAATAGTTATATATTTAAAACACTTAATAGACACCTGATGAGAACAACATTTAAATCCACACATCTTGATAACTTCAAAACGTTCCCCAAAATGTAAGTATTCTGTAAGAGGGAGTCAGAAACATGTGTCCATGACAGACATAATTGATGGAGTGACCTTGTCACCTTCAGAGCTGCAGTGGGTTGGACTAAAAGTGTTGAGATGTTGATTCATTGCCTGCCAAGGCAACCGGAGTCTTGACCTTCAAACTGTCTGGAAACTGGAAATTCTGACAGAATAACATTGGATGATTTCTTCAACTGGCCCATGAATTGGTCTAGGTCACCAGCAGATGGCATCAGGCCATACACACAAATAAATATATTCAATATTTAGGTTTTAGGTCTTAATTTTTGATGATGATAACTTTTTTTAAATAGTAATCAGACTTACAGTTGTCAACTGGTGGATGATAAACAGGTGAAATCCAAATGCTCATATATGGAAGGAGAGACCTGAGACATATCTGAAGACTAGAATATCACAGATTCTTACAAAATTGTGCCATACGAACCAGTGCTATAGCAACGCCTTATCATCATGAAGGCTGCTTTGGCATGGGACAGTTCAATAAGTACGATTCATATTTTCTTAAGAAAATGTAAAAATGTAGTCTATTTCTAAATACATTTGTAACTGATTTTAATTATATATCATCTATGCTACTATATTCTGATAATGCTACTTGGAATGTAGTGCTATTAGAGCATAAGATTTGTAGTTTGGGGTTCATTAGAGTAACAAAGTATCACTGTTTCTTAACAATACCACCACTTCAGTAGCTCTGAGTATTTGTAACTTGTCATCTCCAGTGAGGTTTGTCCTGTGTCGATGAATAGCCTGTGGTCACAGTATGTGTTTACAGTGGTTGGAGGTCAAGTTGTCGCTCCGTCTATTAGACAGATGTTAAAAACTCCATGTACGCATGTTAGGATACTTGCAAGTCTTGACTAGATGTTCTCTGTACTGGACATTTGACCACTGAAGAATCTCAAACAAGGAGTCATTAGGGTCACAGAGTGCATTCAGTGGTGGTGAAATGTGAAAGTCTCTCTGTTTGTGTGTCAGTAAAACATTTTGTGGAACCATACACTTCCAAAAAATAACAACAGCTGTAGAGCTAAATAGAATTGTTCATTTTTGATCTCTTAAACCGTCACTTACTTATCTTTAATTAGTGGTAAACTAGCATCTTTAACACATCTTGCATTCAGTGATTTTCCTCCATGACAGTGACTATATGTACCGGTTTTCTGGGGGATCACCCACATTTTCAGTGTTTGTCTCTCAGAAATCTCCCAATTATTTACTGTACATCCAAAACTGTGCACAAAGTGAAATGATACCTAATTTGGCAAAAAAAAAGCCAGAGCAGCAAAGCAACAGGCATGACAAACAGAGGACACCGATCACTATAGCAGTCTTTGTCTTCCTCTACTAATTACTTTCGAATGCTAGTTCTGCCACTGAAAAATAGGCCACCATAAACAACCACAAAAGTGTCATCATCTTGTCATTATCTTCAAAACTTAAAATGAAATCACTGATGCATACAACCTTCTGACCTCAAACGAATCTAATCACACACACAAATGATGATTCATGTTGCAAGTCAGAAAGAGAAGAGAGAAAGAGAGAGAGTATATAGGGAGTTCACTCAAAAACCATGAAAGACAGTTCTGGGGATGCTGTTATGTAAATCAATATTGTCCAAATTACTGGCCAGTTGCTCAGCCCTATTAAAAGAGTTGATTGAACTCTTATTCCAATTAACTCTTATTAAGTCACAACTGTTGACGTGTTTACAAAGTTACTTACATTATAGTCAGTAGAATGTTTTGGGGAGCATCAAAATAAAGTGTTAGCAGATATTAAGCAGCCAGTCTACTAATACTCTAATGACTGCTAGATGACATGTAGTAGCAAAGTTACTTATAGTTAGTAGAATGTCTAATGTGGACTATCACAATAAAGGTTTACAAAATTAAAAATGTTTTTTGGAACCCTTGTGTTCTGTGTATTTTCCTGACATATGTATATAACCTTCTGGGAAACGAAGTGAAGCAGCTTAATTGATGTTAACATATATTAATTTGTGGAGGACCAACCGTGGATGTTTTGGTTGTGTTTCATATCCGACTCATCGATTTCAGGTCTTGGAGTCTCTACTACCGGGCTGATGAGTTGAATCAGGTGTTTTTGATTAGGAATAGTTAAAAAATGGGTGCTGCTGGTATGCCGCCAGGAACAGGGTTGAGAAACACTGTGGTGTATGTGCTTGTTAAATAAGCCAGTTAATATGTAACATAATAGCATTGCCACAGAAGGGAGGTATGCATTGTTAATGACAGCAGTAAATGATCTGAATTTCTTGTGCTGTCACTATGATCAGCACAACTGTACCTCAGTATGTATGTCTGAAGTTTACAGAGCAAACATATGTATGATGGATTTCAGCCAAGATGAGATTCTGTGGGTTATATATGCTGAGTTGGAAACATTTATTTTGACCCCTACCTTCCTTACCCTCTGTTGTTACAATTATTACTGAAGAAGAATTTCTGTCCAACACTCCAGACTCTGTTGAGCAAAGAGAAGGGTCTATGGAAAAATAAATCTGTTCATAGAGCGAGCTGCCAACATTTTTGCAGAAGCAGTAATCCAACACTGAACAAACACAGACCTGCCTACTCATTCAGGTTTCTATGTGCCTTTACTAGTCTGACCGTCTGCCAGAGAAAATGTGCTCTTAAGGGCCATGTTACGAGACACTGAGGATGCATTAACCATTAAGAGACTTTGTCTTTTTGCCAATTCTATGCAACATTTGCATGCACTGTTTTCAAGGTTTCAACTGAATTATCTTGTGCATGAACAGGTCACTCATTCAAAGATTTCATAGCTCAGCATTGTCTATTTAAAGAGAGATGAAATGTCCTTCTCCTTCCTTCTCTATTCTGTGCAAACTTCCAGCATTTCAGCAGTTTGTCTGGCAGGAGCAGATTATGATAGACATGAAGTCTAAAAAAAGTTTTTAAATTCTCATTCTAAAAAATGGGAGAAAAAGTCTTAATTTCAATAAGGCTTATTGGGTTTGTTTATGGACAGTGACATTAACATGAACTCTGAGGCCTAGTCAATTGACAGAGAAGT